AAAAAAAAAAAAAAAAAAAAGAGAGAGAAGAAGTTTGTGCTACTCTCTGGGTGCTGTGTGCTTTTTATCGTCACTGATCTTTCTATTTACTTTTTGTGCAATTTTGTTTTATTCAGAACTTGAAGGACGACACTGCAAATGCAATGGAACAACTTCAGGAAGCTGAATCTGAAGCAAAAGCTCTTCGAACAATGACACAGAGAATGATTTTGACCCATGAAGAGATGGTTGTTGTTTGAATTCTAATGAGATAACTTTTTTGCTTTAGCTTCAAATTTATGCTACTCACTACTCGGTCTTCCTCACTTTGATCTCTGTTGCCTTTTGACATTCTAGGAGGAGGTGGTTCTAAAGAGATGTTGGCTATCTCGATATTGGGGCCTAGCTGTACACTATGGTAATTTGCTTAATCAGCATTTTTTGTGGATTTAATCAGTGGTTGTAATATGTAGTGTACTGTTTTGAAGTTACAACGCATCTTTTTATGAGAAAGAACATTCTTTTGCATCTTGGCTTAACAAGTAGAAAAATACCATGATTACTGGCAGTGTACAAAATGTAGCAAATTTGAATTTTGAGAAAGCTCTCCTAGTTCAGTTGACTTAAGAGATTGATGAAGTTTTAGAGAAGGTTCAAGGTGAAGTTAGATTGTCTTACATCGACCTCCAGATGCACCGGTCCTTAGGTGCGACTCCATTGTGATTGAGGTGTTAAAAGGGAGGTCGAGTATACGTGAAATCACATGGAAGAAAGTTGTCTTGAAATACCTACAATCTCTTGGAATCCATTCAAATTACTATATATAATAAGGGAGAATCAAAGGACTTTTGTAGTCCTCACATACATTTCCAAAAAAAATATAAACTTTTCACTTAATTACTTTTATGTCCTGATCTTATTTTAATGTCAAATTTACTTTTTATTTTATGGTTTACAGCTTGCCATATCATTTAATGTCTCAGTAACACGTGCGAGTTTGCTGCAACAGTAGGCCGTATTGAATTTGTAATTTACATGTAAGCAAGGTTAAAGGCTACTATGATGAAAGGACCCCACGTAAATTTGTCATTCCCATATTTCTATTAGAATGATTATGTGAGCCCCACTTAAATAGCTACTATTAATGATTATTATCATCTCACATCCAACTCTCCCTTAAACAGCTACCGTTATTAAACATTACACTAATTATGTAATTTTATAGTGTGTTACATATTCTTTTCTCTTGATTTAATAATGTTTAGAAGCAAGTAAATATTTTTTGGCTTAATATTCTATTTATAATAAGGGGCGATAGAATTTTTTTTCCTGTCCTCACATTCAAGTTTTCAAAACCATTGCCCTTAAAGTTGCTATTTTTTACTCTATCAGTTTTGTGGGTGTTGAGTTAACAATACCACTTTTAAGTCTATTTTGTAATTCTATGGTTTCTTATAGGAGATAGTACATAGTATCTTTCTACAATCACTTCTCACCCTACACTAATCTTCAAATGGAGTCATGGTTGCATCTTAACTAAAATGTTTGGTTCTATAATTCGAATTGTTGAAGTACTATAGCTTTATGTACCTTTTACCTTTACAAATTAAAGAAAAACATGTAAGCATCCCAACTCCTATTTATCGGTCTTCATAATTTTATCACTACATTAGCAAAAACACATCCTTTAAAAGTGAAAAAGATCAAATATTAACAAGATGAGTAAAACATATTAAGCCTAATATTTTTAAACTCTTTTGGCGTGTGGACATTTATATTTTTTTTTTGGTTAAGAAGATTGTAGGAACTTAAGTAATGTTATTCCCAGTTTCTTTGTGTGTTGATACGAGTTCTAAGAAAATCTCTTAAATATGATACATGGTATTGCAATTCGGGATTCACAAGGAATACCAGACTGAAAACGGGCTGGTGTATTTAAAATTTATCTTGATTATAATTTGAGTATGCTCGATTATTTTTATCAGTATTAATACGATATTTGGTGAAAACTTAAAAACATAATATAAATTGTTCTTTATAATCATATGTATTACGTTTTGACCTTGAATTTGGGCCCGGGCTTACTGCAACTAGTCTATAGAATAAAATGGCATAACAGAACAATATATATATATA